TTTGTTAATTTTATTCTATATCTTTATAATTATATTAAGACTATAGTTAGTAAACTAGTTATTAATCTTAATTTTTATTAAAATATTTTACTGAAGATCTGAATTATATAGAATAATATTTTAATATTTTATTTATTAAATATATTCTATTTTTATTTTAAAAGAGTATCTGTTTATTTATTTTCTATTTTTTTAATAAAGTAATTTAAAGTTAAATCTATTCAGAATCAGACTTTATTATATATATCTCTTTATAAATTCATATAATTCAAAGAAATACTTTAGATTTTTATAATTAATTACTACTGTAGACTCTGATATTAAGTATAGCTTAATATTTTATACTTCAAAATATTATATAATTATAAGTAGCCTTTTATTATAGATTTTATAATTATACTTTACTAAGATATTTTATATAGAAAAATAAATATAAGAATACAGCTCTTTGTTTTTATTTACTTAAGAATATTTTTTTTATATTATAATCTAAATAATCTAGGAAATCTGTTTTTCTTACTATTACATATTTAGAATTAAAAAAATAAATAATTAATTTACTTAAAAACATTTTTTAACATCCAGAAATATATTTTATATTTCTAAGTTTATTAAAAGAGCTGATTCTTTTTTATTAGATTTATAAATAATTATATAATAATTAAAAGTCTGAGAATAAATCTATAAAAAAGGTTTATAAATCTTAGAAAGCTTTAAGTTATTTTTATTATTTTAAAACTTTTTATAAGATCATTATTTTAATTTTCTTAGAATTTATTTTAATATTCTTTTCTATATATATAATAAATTCTAGATAAAGAACTTTCTTTTATTTAAATTTATATTTTTTAATATTTAAAAATAAATTAGCTTCTTTTAGTTTATATAATATTTTTTATCTATATTTATAATACTACTTAATATTTCTATCTATATAGATAAACATATTATTAATATAGACTAAGCAGAATTTATTAAGATATTTATATAATACTTAGTTAATATACTTCTAAAAAATATTTAAAATATTCATTAGTTCAAAGAAGATTATCAGCTATTTATATAATTCATATTATATATAAAAAATTATTATCTATTATTAATCTTCTATAATATAGATTTTACAAAAAATAAATAAAATATTTAGTTTAATAAATTATTTTATTTCTTTAATTTAATTGAGAGTTTTATAAATTAAAGAAAGTAGATAATACTTCTTTTTTATAATTATATTCAATAATTAATAATTTATACAAAATCTTAAGTTATTTTTAAAATTTTATATAAAGAGGACTGAAGCTGCTGCTAAAAAATAATTAGTTTATATAAAACTTTTTTTTAATAACTTAGTTAGTTTAAACTATAGAACTATTAGTTCTTCTTGAAATATATTATAGAAAAAGTCTTATAAAATCTCTAGCTCTTTTTTATTTTAATATATAAACTTAATTTTATAATTAATATCTTTTTAATAAAATAATAAGTTTCTCTAAAAAATATAATTTATAAATTAATAATCTTTTTAATTTAAAATATTTTTTAAATATTAATAAATAAGATTATAAATCTTTCTATATATTTTTTAGATCTTCTTTGAAGATATTTTATAAATCTTATCTTAATTCTAAACTAAAGTTTTAGATTTATATATAATAAATATAATAAATGTCTTAGTCTTATTTTAATTATATATAGAAATAATCTTTTTTAATCTAATTCTAGAATTCTATTATAATACAACAGTCAGCTTTTTTTTAGATTAGATTATATTCTAAATTATTAAGTTGTAAGGATAGTAATCCTTATAACCCTCGCGATATAAAATATCGCGAGGAATACCCACGCTGCGGAGGCAGTCCCTCGCGAAGTAATTATACTAGTATAACACGTGATTTATAGAATTCTTATAGATATATCTATCCGCGAGAGGAGCTAGATAGAAGACTAGTAATAATACTTTAAGTAATACAGACACTACCTTGACTTCGCGATAGAGATACTTTCTTCACACTATCTCAACATGCACTCTTATATAAGTATTATATAAAAATATACTTCTTTTTATATAAAATTCTATATTTATTCTGATTTATATATTAAAATAGAATCATACTTTACTACTTAAGATTTCTTATATTAATTGAGAATTAATACTAATAATTAATAGATTATTTATTTTAATGAATATTTTATTTATAATATTATAAATCAAATATTTTAAGTTAATAAAGATATAGACTGTTATTATATAGTTTAAAATAACCTTTATTAAAAAGAATAAATAATTAATAATTATATATTTTTTTAAAGTTTTTTTTATTAATATTCAGTTTTATTTATAAATTCTTATCTAGATATATAACTTTATACTAAACTCTTTTTCAAATCTAAGTCTTTCTTTAAAAGGATATTTTTTTTATTACTAAGACGCGGGTATAATAATAATTATATTTATTAATTATATAGTAAATTTTAAAAGAAATATTAGTAAATAAGATATTTATTTTATTTATAATAAAGATAATAATCTACTTTGTATTTTTTTTATATTTTATTAAATATTACTTGTTTAGCTTATTTTTAGAGATTATTAATAATTATACACAAATAATATTTCTCTTATTATATAATAATTATCTAGATAGATTTCTAATTTATTAATTGAAGATTTAATTTTTATTATACTAATATAATTGTAGAGTAATTTTCTTTACAAAGAAAATTACTTCTCTTACAGTTATAATTTATATAATATAATTAATTATAATTATCTTTATATATAAATCCTCAAGAAATTCTAATTAAATATTAATTTTTTAATAAGTCTTTAATTTACTGTAATATTTAATATAGCTTTTTTTATTTATTTAATTAATTATATTCTTCTGCTTAAATCAGGGCTTTATTAGACTTATTTAAAAAAACTTTTAATTTTATTTTTTTAATTATATTTATCTGATTTAGAGCTTTCTATTATATATAAGAATATTCAAAAACCTTATTTCTTATTAAGAATATATTCTTAAGTTATACTATTTTAGTATTTTAAGATTTAATTTAAAAAGATTTATTACACTGCTTCTTTATAAAATTAATTATAAATATAAAAAACTTATTTTAAATCTATTGAATAATACTTCTTATTAAAAATAAATTTTATATATATATAGTTTAAATAATTTATAATTATATTTATCTTCTTTATTAAATAAGTCTATATTAAAATACTAAGAACAGGATTTATAGTCAGATCTATATAATTAAAATAGAAAATCGTTCTTTAATTTATAATATATAATAAAGATTATATTATAATTCTATAATTTATTTACTTCTTTATTAAAAATTAATTTTTATTTTATTACTTTTATATAAAAATAAATCAGTTTTTATAATAGAAGTTATATATTATTAAATATAATTATAAATATTATATAATCTACTGTAATTATTTAATATTTATTTATTTTATTATTTTAATAACTTTTTGAATTTAATTCTATTTTATTTATATTTCTAGGCAGGCTCTGTCTAGAACGTTTATAAGCTATTTTTAATATTATAAAATAAATAGATTATACTAATTAAAATATATTTTTAAATAAAAAGAAATAGCTAGAGAGCTATTTTATTTATTTATACTGAACTCTTTTATATATATATTAAACTAGTACTAGTTTAGTATATAGTATACAAGATCTCAGAGATTAATTAATATCTTAGGCCAAGCTCTATATCAGGGCATTGGTCCCATAACATAATATATATGATATAATTTTATCTATATTAAATAACATAATAATAATTTCTTTATAAATTTTATAATTATTTTTTCATATTTATAAAAATTAGCTCAAAAAATATTAGTTTTTCTAAGCAGATATTATTATTATTTAATAATTTTATAAATATTTTTAAAGACTGTGTTACCTGTTCTGCCTGCTCTTTTGCCTGTTCCTCTTGCTTTCTGCATTACTAGCCTATCTTGCTCACTGAATATCCGAAGATTATACTGGCTGTTTAGCCTATTTTATACTTAGTTTAATATAATTAAATAAATTCTTATAAGAATTTAATTAAAAATAAGAAAAGTATATATAATTATATTAGTTATAATATATCTATATCCTAATTTTTAATATTAATTCAAAGAATTAAATCTCTTAAAACAAGCAGTCAGAAAAGTTTATTTTATTATATTTTATAATTAAAATTCTGATTAATTACATATAAGAATAATTATTTTTAATAATATTCTTAAATTAGTAAATCAATAATATTACTAAGTTTGAATATTAAATTAATCTACTTTATAATATTATTATTAATATATTTTATTAGCTTTATTTTAATAAAGATATTATTTAGTAAAGAATTTATATTATAATTATCTCTTCTACTTCTGCTTTGCTAAGATATTATAGTTTTTTTATTAATTAATAGTTTAATTAATAATTATTAATTAAAGCTGTTAAAAAATTTCTATAAATAACTAATAATTTGATTATTAAATTTTAATATATTAACTGACTTGCTGAACAGTCTGCTCTTATTAATTAAAATATATTAAATTATCTGATTAATTGTTTAATATCAAGATTAAGCTTGAGTCTCTTAATTCTCTTATTATTAGATTAAGAAAATAAAAAATAAAGAGCCGCAACTGGCAGCTGCTCACTATGGCAGGTACGACCCGCCCCCTCTTCGCCGCCTTCGGCAGTACCTAGGTAGTGCTACTTCATGATGGGGAACCGTACCTTTACTGAATGTGATGTCACAGGATGTATTTGTTTTAAGAACCACTAAAGACTTCTAGTTAGTAGGTATCATCAATGTTAATTTATATAATGGCTCCCTATGTAGGTAGGTAAATAGTAACCATGTTGAGGTACAGGTAGGTACTATATGCCTTATAGTATACACCAGTACAGAGTAGCTGTAACAAAACAAGATTATGTTTTTGTTCTATTGAACAACGCAATAAGCGAATAGGGAAGGCGGTCTTAATTGAAAGTGCAGAGTAGTTATAGGGTGTAGGCTATCTATGTCATCAAGCCCGGATCAGTTAACAGTCTCCAGTACCCAATTATTTACAGCGTTGACAGCTAATCACAGGTCAAATCAGTCAACTTCAATGCACTTAATACATAGAACTCAACTCATACCATCAACTGAAGCATAATGTCGGTCTTCATTTACTAGGCTTTCGGAATATGTCTAATATGTCTTGCACACAGGTTCGAGAAATCGCTCTATGACCTTATCAAAGGTCTGAGAAACCATAAAGGGGCGGAGGAGGAATATATACAAGATAGTCTACGAGAGTGCAAAGCTGAGATCAGGTCTCAGGACATGGGTACGCATATGCCATCATGTTTATGTTGCCTGTATACTTACTTCCACCAGATAAAAAGGCTACTGCGCTCTTGAAATTGATTTATTTGGAAATGTTTGGGTATGATATGTCATGGGCTTCTTTTCATGTTCTAGAAGTCATGTCGTCAGCAAAATACCTACAGAAACGAGCCGGCTACCTTGGAGCGGTGCAAAGCTTTAGGCCAGATACAGAAGTGCTAATGCTAGCAACCAATCTCTTAAAGAAGGTTATAAAGCTGCCTTCCCATCTGTTCCTCATTTCATTCTGACCGTATTATAGGATCTAATATCTCCAAGTATTCCGAACATGTCGCTGCCTTTGATCACACTGCCTAATATCACAACAACTTCCTTGGCCATGTCTTTACTCCCAGACGTTTTATCTCGGATTTCTCACACCCACGCTGTCGTCCGGAAAAAGGCTATTGTATGCCTCTATAGGCTGACTTTAGCTTACCCTGATGCACTCAAACTAGCATGGCCTAAAATTAGCGAACGTCTCATGGATGATGGAGAAGACACCAGTGTCACCACCGCGGTACTAAATGTGGTATGTGAATTAGGATGGCGAAGGCCTCATGATTTTCTACCTCTTGCGCCAAGGTTCTTTGAGTTACTGGTGGAAGGGGGCAACAATTGGATGGCTATAAAAATAATCAAACTTGTATGTATCACATCACTTCTGTTCATGAGAAGTTTCTAACTGCCTTAGTTTGCTACATTGACTCCCCTTGAACCACGATTGGTTCGGAAGCTGCACCGTCCATTAGTAAACATTATTGAAACAACAACAGCTATGTCATTATTATATGAATGCATAAACGGTTTGATTCAAGGTGGTATACTTGATAGCGATGCAAAAATCGAAGAGAAGGATGAGATTGCAAACTTGTGTGTTGGCAAGCTCCGGGGCATGGTGGTTTCTGATTCCGACCCAAATCGTGAGTATACCTTGGAAATATTATTTGAAGCAGGAGACTTATACAAAAACAATAGTAAAATATGTAGCACTCCTAGCATTCAATAGGATTGTGCATACCTACCCGGTTTTGGTATCCATGCACCAGGACGTGATAATGCACTGCTTGGAAGATGCCGATATTTCAATCCGCTTACAAGCTCTTGAACTCGTAACAAAAATGGTGACGAGTGAAACATTACAGTCAATTGTCAATCAGTTGATTGGCCAACTAATGAACCACGGACAAAAAAGTAGCAGAGACTGGAATGAAGTTGAAGATGCGGGTCTAGAATATAGTGCTTCCGATTTGCGAAAAGAGTCAACGAACCCCGAAGCATTTTCTCTACTCCCAGCTGACTACAGGATCCAAGTTCTGCATCGTATTCTCGATATATGCTCTCAGGACAATTACTCAAACTTGCCAGATTTTGAATGGTATGTGAATGTCTTGGTGCAATTAGTCAATCTTCTTCCTGCAGACGCTGAAGGCTCTCTCACGCATATGACGAATGATGAGCTTGAAAACGACCACCAGAACTATATTACAGGCCGGATTGGGTCCGAGATCCGCAATGTTGTTGTTCGTGTACGGGAGGTTAGGGAGGAGGCAACTCGGGCAGCTGAGTCTTTGATTCTTGTTGACAACAGAAGGTCTTTGTTCTCCGGAGTGCATGCCCCGTGCAACAATATCCTGGGTTCTTTAGCTTGGGTTGTTGGCGAATATTCCGGATATCTCTTGTCTCCGGGCCGAACGCTTGAGACTTTGGTTGATCTATCTAACATATCGTTGCCAGGGAGGACTCTTTCTCTCTACATACAAGCTATCCCCAAGGTTCTCATTACTATCATTCGTGATTGTCACCCACGATTGGACTCAAAAAATCGAAGTGAAGTTGCACTTATACTGGCACGGGTCATTGAGTTCCTAGAAATTTTGGGAGCACATCCCGACTTAGACGTGCAAGAAAGGGCCATCGAGTTTGTAGAGATTATGCGATTAGCCGCGGATACCATCACCCCGACTGATCCCAGTTCTCGCGACACGCCTTTCTTGCTCTCTTCGGCGATTCCCGGGTTGTTCCATGGCCTCGAACTAAATCCAGTCTCCATCAACGCTCAACGCAAAGTTCCTTTGCCAGACCAGCTTCATCTATACCGGCCTTTCAACAATGGTATTTGGGGAATATTCAGTCAGGACTTTAGACATCATGGAGTGGACGCGAAGCCCTTGTTTCATGATTTCTATTCCAAGGAAGAGGCATCAATGGTTGGTAAACAGTTTCTCGATCAGGGCCCAGATGACATGCAGCCTGCCCCATCATATCAAAATACTGGAGGTGATTTTCTCGTTGATCCAGCAGCTTTTATGAGGCGCAAACTGGACAGGAGAGAACACAGCCGTGATGACCCCTTCTATATTGGAACTGAAGATTCAGGGTCTGGCATGCCACGGCTGTCTCACCTCTCCCTAAATGCGTCGAGCGATGACGAGCTAGATATTGACTCTATCCCAATAATTGATCTCAAGTTGAGCGATGTGAGAATCCGACGTGGTGAACACATGCCCTCCCCCGTGCCTAGCGAAAGTCGGACAACACTTGGGTTTCGTTCCAAGAGATACCATGTAATTCCGGACGAGATGATCGGGGGCGAAGAGTCAATTGGAGAAACAATACCTGCAGTGTCCACCAAAACCAACAGGCCGCTCCTTCAAATTGATTCTAGCGGTCTCGAGCGCAATGCAGGGAAAAAAGGCGTATCATCGCGTGTTCCAAACATTGACTCCAGACCTGAAGGTGATGAAGAGGAAGCCGTGGCATTGCAGCATTTGGCAAAAGTTCGTTTGGAGATGCAAAGAGCGTCTGAGCGAGTGCATCCAGCGGACATCCCAGCCGAGGGGACATTGGTTAAGAAGAAGAGAAAGGTCAAGAGGCCTGGGGTCTCCGAATCACTGCAGAGTAGAGGACAAAAAGGCAATCATGTCTCGTCCTTGGATAGAATGGAGAAACGCCAACAAATGAGGGGGGAAGCTTTGGTGGAGGAACAGAGCCTAACGTGAAAAAATGGCAAGGTGCTGTAGTAGTATTTAGGAAGAGGAAATAATATGGATTGAAGCAAGACCATATAGCAGTTTATATGAAAATAATAAGATAATAAGAGCAATGCACATAACTTACACCTATAACTAATAGAATAATGGCAGTCCTTGATACTAGGACGTGGAAGAAGATTTCTATGTAAATGAGGTGTTGATTATGTGTATGATTATTTCTAGTCCCTTTGTCACAAGCAATGATATTGAGTTGCCACCAATTATTATTTGTAAAATGGTCAAATTCACAGCACCAGGCGGTTGAAACTTGCCACAACAGCTGACCAGAGCTTTGGTATGATCCCCAGTATCTCCAGGAAGATTCCACCACAAACAACAAAGGCCAAAATGACTGTTCCCGTTAGCTCATATTAGACACAGCTTGTCATCTTGTAACATACCCAACCAGCCAGTAGATACTGGTGACTTAGATGCCGGCTTTGACTTTGCAACTATCTTTCCTTTACCATGCTTGGCAGCTTCATGTTTTGCATATTTTTCGTTGGCTTTCTTTTGTTGGGGTGTCTGGGCCTAAGAATAGAATGAGCAGACGTCATAAGGAAGAGACTTGTAAGTTACCATATTTATTGAGAGTAGGTATGTCCTGCTATATGAGTATGAGTATGGTGGTTAAGTAATGGTACATGTGTGGAGTTTATATGTGGTTAGTTATTAAATGCTCCTAGACCATTCTATAAGAACTTGCTTTAAGTTTTATGAGTAGTACTCTGTACCACCCATATGAAAGGCCACGTTGTTATAAGTTCACGCCGAGTACGGAGTACAGGGTACACAGTTTCTACTCCAAAGCTTTAGTTGCTTGCTTACCTCAGGCACCATGCAAGCACACTCTTGGCATAACCTGGGCACACACCTCGGCTAGGATCAGGTTTTGGTATACTAAGATCAGGCCGGCGCGGAAGAACTATTACTCAGGTAGAATTAGTTTTTTTTTAGAAAAGAATTCTGATCCTAGGTCAGGTCTAGTTATATAATAAATTTTATTAAATTTTATCAAAATCTAATCTTTAATTTTGTTAACTACAAGCCCTTTTTTATCATGTGACCCCTAAATTATCTACTCATTGTTGCCTCTATAATAGTTCTTACTGGTCTATCATGTGCCATATAGTTATATATCTATCTATATTTAATAATAAGTTCTTTTAATCTTAACAAAAATATATGTTTCAATTTTATTAAGTATGCTAATAGCATATTTATAGATAAGTTTTAGTAATATTTTATTTTTAATAAACATCTTTTGTTAATTTATGTTATGGGGTTCTTGTATAAATCCTCCAAATCCCAAAGACTTAGTAATACCTGCGCCAATGCTTTATTCAGTATACTATAATTAAATAAATAATTAAATAAAGTAAAAAATAATACTATATAAAAAGAAATAAAAAAATATAATTTAAATATTCTTATTTTATTTTTTTCTTTTTTATTAAATTCTTCTATATTAATAGTTTATTATTAAATTAATTTAATTTAATTATTTCTCTAATATTAGAAATTAATTATTATTAAGAGATAATCTCTTAAAAGTTAAGAATTATTTAATATATAAAAATAATAAGCTCTTTTAATTTAATAATTTATAATAATTAAAATATTATTTAAGAATTTATATAAGTAGTATATACTTTATAAATAAATTTAAATAATTAATAAATATATTTTAATTAATAATAATAAAAATATTAAATAATATAAGCTTAGCTATAAATCTGACTAGAGAACTTAGAATAATATTTTATATTATTATTTATATTAATAATATTATTTTTTATTTAACATTTAATTATATAATTTCAGGCTTGCTTTTCAGATCTAAAATTTTTTTAAAAAAAAAGATTTTAAAATATATTTTTTTTTATAAAAAGTATAAGAGTGTGTATTAAGATAGTATAAAGAAAGTATATCTATTATAAAGTTAAGATAATATCTATATTACTTAAAGTATTATTACTAATCTTTTATCTAGCTTTTCTTATAGATAGATATAATTATAAGAATTTTATAAATTATATATTATACTAGTATAATTACTTTGTAAGAAACTATTTTTATAGTATAAATATTTCTTATAATATATTATATTATAAGAATTATAAAAATTATTATTTTTATAATTATCTTCTCTTTTAGAATCTTAATTCTTAGGATTATTATTTATAAAAAATTAAATATTATTAAAATCTCTGTCGTAAAATTTTCTTTATAAAAAAATTAATTAAAAAAAAAAGTTTTTTCATAATATCTATTTTATATAAGTCTATCACAGCTATTTTATATAATTATAATTATATTATTATTTATTATATTTCAGATCTTTATAATTATAATTAAATAATAAATATTTAGAGTGGCTTAACCTGATCATTATATCTTAACCTTAATCTGGCCATAACCTGATAATTAGATTAAGATATAAAAAATTTTTAACTATATAATTAAGATTAGGTTAAGATATAACTATTACTATAATTATTTATATCTGCCGATCAGAAAGATCAGATATAGCAGATAGATTAATAATTACAGATTAATTTATAATATATATATTCTTCTTATATAGATAATATACAAAGTATAATATATATTTAATTACAGTATAAATATAGTAATATTTTTTAGATATAGTCTACTGCTTAATCTGCTTAACTAATTATATTAAGAGATATATTATACTCTGAAAAAGACTTTTACAGAATCTAATATAGAAGAAATAAGAAAAGATATAGAATATTTATTCTTTATACTGTCTAGAATAATAATTATAATAATATAGAAATTATAAAGGCCGGGTCTCTATCTTTATCTGAGTATATATAATAGTCAAAGAATAACTTTTTTTAATTAAAGTGAAATAGCGGTTTTTTAGCTTATATATAATTTTTAGAAAAGATTGTCTTCTGCTATTAATCCTAAAAAATAAAGAGTTTTTTTTAAAGAGCTGAATATAGAATAATCTTCTGATTTCTCACAACGCGTGTAATCTTAAGATTTAAAGAAGAAGAAAAGATCTGATTTAAGAAGCTTATCTTAGTTTAAGTATTATTATAATTTATAAAGATCTAAGAAATAAAAGAAGAAGACTTGATAATATTCTCTGAAAATAAATTAAATAATTATAATTAATTTATAATTCTAAAACTATTTTATAAATAATAGATATAGAAAAATAAAAGCAGAAAACTTTATAAAAATAATTTATTTTATTTTAAAATATAATTTTATATAAATATAATTTATTATATTTTAATATATAGCTGAGGCGCCTGTTATATTTTATTTATTTTAATAAATTTAATAAGCAGAAATTTATATCTGAAGCCTAGAGTTATAAAATAATTTCTTTTTTTAAATAAAGCTACTTAAGATATAATAGATTAGAATAGAAAATAGATATTTATAAAAAAAATTTATAAAAGACTTTTACAGAATCTTCTATAAGAGCTGTAATATTATAATATAGATTTAATATATTCTGTTTATCTATTCTATCTATTTAATTTATTTAATCTGTTTAATTTATTTAATCTATTTAATCTGTTTTATTTTAATAATCTAATTATCTGTAATTTTTTTAACTGTTTATTAGTTCTTAATTTTATTAATAGCTCTTTGAGTTATATCTTATTTATAAATCTAAGAATAATCTGATTTAGAAGAAATAATAGAATAAAAGCAGTATATTTATTTTTAGTATTTTAATTAATAATTAATATATAGTTTTTCTAGTATTCTATAATATAATTAAAATATATAATTAAAACAGAGCAGTAATTATATATTTTTATATATATTTTTTATTATAAGAATAATAATTTTATAAAAAGCTAAATTTTATTAATATAACTAGAATTTTCTTATTATTTCTGATAAATAATAATAAAAAAGATACTAATTTTTTTTTTAGTTATATTTTTTTAATCTAAAAAACTTCTTTTTATATACTTTTAAATAACAATAAAGATAATCAGATTAATAACTATTTAATTTAGAAAAATCTTAACTATGCTAGAGCTTAAAAAGATATAGCAGATAGATCTTAATATTAAGAATAATTAAGATAATTAATTATCTGATTTTTAATTATATTATAATCAGATATAAAAATTTTCTTAATCTAATTATAACCTGGCGGTTAGATATAAAAATTCCAATTAACCTGACCTGACCTGGCTGTTAGCCACTCTATAAATATTATAAGTATCTCTATAATTATAATTAAATAATAAATATAATATAATATTCTTAATTTAAATATAAATTAGAACTTAGAACTTAGAACTTAGAATTCTAAAAAAGAATATTTTTCTTAAATTTTTTTTTTTTAATTTTTTTTATTTTTTAATCTCTCTCTTTTTTTAATCTCTGTAATTTCTCTTTTTTTAATTATTATTATTATTATAAAGAAATATTTATTTAAAAAATTCTTATAGCTATTTATATTCTTATAACTATTTTATATTTTTATAGCTATTTTATATTTTTTATAATTATTTTATATCTTTACAGCTATTTTATATTTTTTATAGCTGTTTTATATTTTTATAATTTATTTTATATTCTTATAGTTATTTTATATTTTTGTAGCTATTTTATATTTTTATAACTCTGAAATATCTATATTAGATTATAAAATATAATATTTTATAATCTTTTATTAATTTATAAATATTTATTATTTTATAAGTCTGAGATATATATAATTTAATCTAAGAATTATAATTAATTATTTTAATATTTTTTTTTAATATTATATATCTGCTAGTTTTTTCTTTTATAAAAAAATTATTATTTTTATTACTAAATGTTTTTTTTTTATTATTTTTTTTTTCTTCTCGCGAGTATTTGTAATAAATAATTTCTTAGAGAGATTTATTTTATATCTTATAATTAATATAAAGTTAGAATAGTCTGTTCTTATAATTATTATTATTATTATTATTATTATTATTATTATTATTATTATTATTATTATTATTACTATTACTGCTGCTATCTCTGTCTCTATTATTATTATTATTATTACTATTACTGCTGCTATCTCTGTCTCTATTATTATTATTATTATTAATATTATTATTACTTTTATTATAGTCTTTTTATTTTTTTTTAATAATAGATATCTATTTTCTTTACAGAGTATAAGAAACTAATTTATATATAATTTATTAATTTCTTAGCTAAGATTTTTAAAATAATCTAATTTTTTATAATATTATTTTTTTATACTTTTTTTATAATTTATTATTATAATAAAAATATTATTTTAAATAATATTCTTACTATCTCCGCGACCCGCGGACAGTAGATAAATAAATTATTTTTTTTAAAAAAGTATATTTAGATTTATTTAAAATTAATTTATTTTATAGAATATTAGAATTATGAATTAGACTTTAACTTAATTTATAAATTTATTTATAATAAACTAATTTATTAATATTTTTATAAATATATTAATAATTCTATTAGATTTTTTTTTCTGAATAGAATTATAATCTCTATTTAATTAAAAAAGATATTAAATTATATAATTAATAATATAATTTATTTTTTTTATAAAATTTAATAATTATTATTAGCTAAAAATCCGGGCTCAGCTCTATAAGAGTTTTCTTATAATTAAAACTAATTAGCTCTTTTTTTTTAACTAAGTATATAATATATATTATAATCTCTCAGACTTAAAAATATTTATAATATATATTAATAATAATTATAAACAGAGATATAATAATTATATTTAAATTAGATATAAAATCTATTTTTTATAAACTAAGTAATTAATCTATCTATCTTTATTTTTATAAATATTTATTATATTTTATATTTTAAATTGCTATCAGATAAAAATTCTTATAAATAATTTTTTTATTATTTTATTATTTTATTTTTTTT